CTATATCAATGCGTAGACAAATATATTCTACGCGTAGAAAAATAAATTCTACGCATAGATTTTTCCACGCGTAGAATATAGTCTACGTCTACGTTCTACGCATTCTGTTATTTTTGACGGCTTCCCTTAACTATTACATCAATAGCAAAACCAGGTAATTTAAAAATGTTTTCTCTAACAAGGTATACAAATCTTCTTTAAATAGATCATGGTGAAGACGAACATTTAAACGAAGAAATGGAAGCACAGCTACCAGATGATGATTATGATGAAACGCTTGATTATGAACTAGGTGACTCAGAATTAGTCGAAAAATATAACAACATGCTGGCAACAGCAGCGCAGTGGAAAGCGAACAATTACAGAGAGCAACGATTATTTAACAAATATAAGCAAAATTCAATTTGTAGGTCGTTTAAGCTTCCTTGACGAAGTCATTAGAATACACATGACTAGTCCTTGCCACCCCTTCGTTTTCTTTAATATTACCATGTAGTGAAGTGGTAGATTTTTGCGAACAAATAGTACAAGCGGCTCGACCGAATGAGTTATCAAAAGATCAGACTGGTTATTTTCTGAATTTGTTTGGTGTATCAGCTGAAACCTTATTGACTTTATGTGGAAAAGATTGTACAACATGCGTCCGAGCTTTAGTTAAAGCAATTGTTCCTGGTGAAGAACTCCATTTGTACAATTATGAAAAATTTTCAGAAGAAATTAAAAAGGGTTTATTGAGTAAGTGAAGTTATTTTTATTATATTCAATTTATGTTAAGTGAAAGACCATCTCTCTATTTTTAAAAGAAAGCATTTACTTTCTGATCTCTGTGTCAGGGAACAACGACTTTCGAGTCAAAAATGTAATAATAATTGCAGCTGTTTTGAACTTCATACCTTTATTTGTTTGATATTTCGACCTTTAACCGGTCGCTTTCAAAAAACACAAACAGAATAACTGTTCATATAAAGAAAGTATCGTCCTAGTCTTGGAATTTTCTCTTTTTCGTTCTATTTCATTTCGCAGTAAGGATAAAGAAAGAAAGTAGCTGTTTTCATGATTCGTACAGTTATTCTGTTTATGTGTTTTGAAAATGACCGGTTAAAGGTCGAAATATCAAACAAATAAAGGTATGCAGTAGGTTACGCTTTAACGCACGAAGGAGATTTAGGATTATTTTCAAAAAATTCTGTTAAAGTATGGGATCGAGACGTCACTAGACATAAAGTAGCACAAGATAATGGTTTCGATATATTCAATC